TTAACGATGCGTCGTCAAACAAGGAAAACAACTTTCTTACGTCATTTCCACACGAAGGAACAATGAAGACTAAATTCTAGTGAACAATATGGTGAAGACTGTTTATGCATAACTTTAATGTTTCTAAATTTTAATGTATTTTGTTGTTAAATATTTTTATGCATAACTTCTGTCTTAATTAAAATGTATAGTTGTTGTTAATTAGATAAAACTACATGATAGTAAAGTTAGTTTATGTAAAGCATAAATGAAATATTTAAAATCAAGTAATCTTATATAAATAAAGGTAATTAGCGGTGTTTGTATCAAAAAACGCCGTTATATACCTGACTTTTTGCGGCGTTTATACTAACAACCGCCACAATATGGTTAATATATAGTGGCGTTTAAAACAAACGCCGACATAGAATTGTACGTTAGCGGCATTTTTCTACAAACGCCGCAATAGGTTTGATCTATAGTGGCAATTTTTCAACAAACGTCGTAAAATATTTGTACTTTAGGGGCGTTCTTATACAAACGCCGTAATAGGTGTAATCTATATTGGTGTTTTTTCAACAAACGCCGCAAGAAGTGTAATCTATTGTAGCGTTTTTTCAACAAATGTCGTAACATATTTAAACTTTAGCGGCATTTTTATACAAATGTCACAATAGGTGTAATCTATAGTGGCGTTTTTCAACAAATGCCGCAACATATTTATACTTTAGCGGCGTTTATATAAAAACGCTACGACAGAGTCATACGTTAGTGACGTTTTTAAACACAAACGCCACAAAAGAAATACCTATGGAGGCGTTCGGATTAAAAATGTCGCAAATTTCTTTAAAAACCCCAAATTAACAGTTTACGAGCCCTAACATAATTTTCGAAAAATCACCCTCTCCCTCGCATCATTTTCATCGGCGATATAGTAGTCCTTCTGTTGCTCGTTGGTGGTCGAAGCCGCCGACACCTCCAAGGTAAAGTCATCAACGTTGGTGAAGTTGTAGCTTGGTTCGATTGCTTGGTGTTTCTGTGGAAAAGTCATCGAAGGAAACAAAGGTATTTCCGATCAATCTTCTCTCTTTTCTCTCTGACATAAACCTCAAAATCAATCCAACTTCATCTCCGTGCAAAACGTCTCTTCAACTTTTTTTTCCATCCATCACCTCCTCACGCTAATTTCATTTGCTTGAGAGCTACAATAGTTAACAGTTTCATCTTCCAAATTTCTCCCACTACCCAACACGCAGCTCTGTATGTAAAAGAAGAAGAACAAGACAAGTTGTCTAACACTAGATTGCTTGCCTAGAACGAGCCTTGAATTGTACCACTTAAGAAATTTATTCTTTGTTCGAGAAACACAACACAGTCCTAGATGTTGAGGTTTTTTCGACTTTTTTCTCTCTTGGGACTCTCTTTGTTTCAAGAACTGATATGCGATTTCCTTTTTGTTTTGTTTTGTTTGGTGTTTGCTTTAGTTTTCTATGCATGGCAAGACCAGAAATAGGGTGTTGGCAACTTGGAATTTGTTTCTGTGGCTTCAACTGAGGAGGCTCTGTCGGCTCTCACTAATCGCGAATCATAAGTAAGCCTATCAGCACAGGTTTATATTTTTTATGCATTATTTTGCTAATAAGTCCCCTAATGTTTATGTGAATCATGTAATTAACCGGTAATTGAACAAAAATATTTATTTGAATACTTATTTAACCAGTGCTTTGATGACATTTGTTAGCAAAATCCTTTATAAAGTTTGTACTTAAAGCTGATTTCCCCTGGCCAAGTAATGATGTAATTAATTGTACATATTATTTTTCGAGGGCATTGGTTAATTATCCTGATTAACTAATGTATGCTATATAAGTTTGTCGAGTAGGGATGCTATCTATTGTTACAAAGTTTTTAAGCTTGCCTTATGAGTTGGACTGTACTAAAGGATATTCAGACAGAAAGAGGGATCTTATATCAACAAAAGTTTGCTAACACTAGGAAATGTGAATCAAAATTTGCCATTTTTTGTTTGACACGTAATGGTAATTTAACTTGTTTTTGGTTTGCAATTATGTGGCGTCATATTCTTCTCTTAAAAAGTAATAAGTCTCATTTTATTATTTCTATTTTCTGTTTACACTTTCAGCTCATTTGCACTATCACTCCATCATCAAGTAGCACAGAAGAGACACACAATACACTGAAGTTTGCTCACCATGCTAAAAACATTGAAATCCAAGCGGCACAAAACAAGTTATGCTTGTATTTTAGATTTGTAATACTTTTTTGTTGTTTGCTGGTGCATGTGTGTCTGTTCATTGTAGGTGAATCACATGTTAGAAACACAAACATGTATACGCGTGCACGTGCTAAAGCGCAAATATATTTATTCAGAACTTTTTGCACTTGTAATTAATGACTAGTCAGTCTTAATTTATGTCTCATAAATACATCCACGTTTAAGTGTTTATGTAATATATTTAGACTCTCTGAAAGCTTTTACAGTTGATTGAGAAAGTTAAAATTCAAAACCAAATAATTTAAGTGCCATCAATTATCTGATTTAAGAAGTCTTATTTGCTGCAAGAGACAAAGAGGAAAAGTAGATGTTCTGTTTGCAGGATGAGAGTTTAGGTTGAGGAATTTATAGAGTAGGTGACATAGTTGAAATTGAAGGGAGGATATAGTTTCTACGGATTAGTTTTTATGGTATTGGAAAGGTGTGTATTTTGTATTGTTTTATGGCCTTCTGAGCGCATATACAAAGCAACTAATATCTGACCTTAAAACTTGGTGTATACACTTAGAAGTGCTTTCATATGTGTTATTCTAAGTATATGACATGAATTTCCCAGATTCTGTTTTATCAGTGCGATGAGCTGGTCTTTAGTTAAGGCCTCCTATAAAATGGCTGAGCTACTTTGACTCAAATATATTTGTGCTATGTTCAGATGCATCGGGATTTTGGCACTAATCTTATTTCTGATTTTATACCGGTTTGAAGTTATCGTTAGCTTTAGGAGAATATAAAATTTTACCTGTTGAAGAAAGACAAGTCAATCTTCTTTCCTCTAGATACAATATATTTTCACACTAAATATGTTCATCTCCAGGCACCCTCCATCAAACTTGGAAAAAGACTTGAACTTCTTCAAACTTTTTTTGTTCTTGGTGCGGCTATGATAAATTTATCATGTACAATTAGAAGACTATGAACTACCTCCTCATCATAAATATAGGTAAAACTCTTCAATTTGTAACTGTTCAAAAAGGATTATGTAACACTGGCTATGATTATGTGGTATAGGGAGAAAACATTAGCAATTAAAAGAAATAGGGCTAAAAAAACGAGTAAGGTTGAAGTTGGAAATCGTAGGGTTTAAAAGGTTCTAGTTTCAGAAGCCTATTATTTGAGAGAAAAATAATAATGTAACTGTTAACCTATTTTACAGTTTATTTATATTACGGTTACAAATAAAATTTTAGATGAGATACATTTGATCCCATATAATTTTAGCAATTTAAAAGTGTCATAATTTAGGAGTGATTATTTCTATACTATGCAAATATTATTATACACTAAATCTGATAGTTTAATGCTTATGTTTAGGTTATAACTTTCTCAATAATATTAGCATTTAACATTTGAAATTGAAACTCCAGAAATACGAAATGGATAAGACTTGAATGGATTTCTTAAGGGTAAGCATTGAATATCGAAATGGAGTCAAAAACATTATAAATTTAGCTTTTCTGAAGCAAGCCAAGAGAATATGATTCTTTTCCCTTGTAAGAAGTGTGTTAACATTAATTGGTACATTCATGAAGTTGTGTACGAGTGTCGAGTTGTTTTTGGATTTGTTCGGGGTATAGAAAATGGATCTTTCATGGAGAGTTTATATCAGATACATCTGCTTCCACGAGTTATTCGACTTATCATGCTCCTTCACACCATCCAATTGTTAGAGAAGATGACATGGAAGGGATGTTACGAGATGTATTTAATATGCACAATCATCAGCAGTATGTTACAGAAAATTATTGTCAGAATGATGTTAATGATTTCATTGAGATGGGAAGAATTAGATGTGATGAAGAGCTAAATAGAGAAGTGGAAAAGTTTTACAAGTTGCTGAATGAAATGAATGAACAACTTTATGAGGGTTCAAAGTTTTCAAAGCTTTCTTTCTGCATTCATCTTTTCCACTTAAAATGCATGGGAGGGTGGACTGGTAACTCTTTTACGCAATTGTTGAAGTTACTAGGATAAGTGTTTCCTTTTGCAAAAATTCCTCAATCATGCAAAGATATGAAGAAAATGATAAAAGATTTGGGTCTTGGATATGACAAAATTCATAGTTGTCCAAATGATTATATATTGTATTGGGGTGATCGAAAAAATCAGGAGTCTTGTCATGTATGCGGAAAATCTCGATGGATGACTAGGGACACAGAAAATGTTACTGATGATAAAGCTCAAGCACGATCAAGAAAGAAACTGGTAAAGATTCTACGATATTTTCATCTCATTCCTAAGCTACATAGATTGTTTATGTGCTCCAAGACTGTTGAGTCTATGAGGTGGCATCATGATGGCAGAACCAATGATGGATTATTACGGCATCCTGTAGATTCTTTTTCTTGGAAGTCATTTGATAACAAGTATCCAAGTTTAGCGAGAGATCCTCGAAATGTCAGACTCGGTCTTGCAACTGATGAGTTTAATCCATTCAAAATCATGAGTACTTCTTATAATACTTGGCTTATTATACTTGTTCCATACAATTTGCCTCCATGGATTTGCATGAAACAATCATCTTCCATCTTATCCGTGATAATCCCTGGCGAGAAAGGCCCCGGAAATGATATTGATATTTACATGCAGCCGCTAATTGCAGAGTTAAAAAAGTTATGGGAAGGGTCGAAACATATGATGTGTTTAAGAATGAGAACTTTAATTTACACACGACTTTATTATGGACAATTAATAATTTTTCTGCATATGCAAATTTATTTGGTTGGAGTACCAAAGGTCGTTATGCTTTTCCTTGTTGTACTTCACAAACATGTTCGAAATGGTTGGTTAATGGAAAGAAGTTCTCTTATATGGGACATCGTCGGTGGTTACCTTATAATCATAGATTTAGATGTCAAAAGAATATGTTTGATGGTGATAAAGAGTTTCGAAATGCTCTTGACCAAACAATCGGGTCTGAAATATTCTCCATGTTGAAAAATATCAATTTTCCTTATGGAAAGATGAATCAACCAAGTTGTACACGATTAAAGAAAAAGGCAAAGCAAGTCAATGAAGAGATTGAAGTTGACAAACAGAGTGATAATGAGTCTGATGAAGAGGATGATCCAAATGAGGTAGACTTGTGGAAAAAGAGGAGTATATTCTTTGAGTTGTCGTATTGGAAGAATAAGATTTTGAGACATAATCTGGATGTAATGCATATTGAGAAGAATGTTTGTGAGAATATTATTGGGACCATTCTGAATGATGCCAGAAAATCTAAAGATAATCTCAAGAGTCGACTTGACTTAGTCGACATGGGAATTCGGCATGATCTTCATCCGCAATTACATCCTAATGGAAAATATTTCTTGATGCCTTCTATTTTATTCTCTTTCGAAGAAAGAAAAAGAAGTGTTTTGCATGGTCTTGAAGGATATAAAAGTCCCAGATGGGTATGCATCAAATATATCTCGACGTGTCAGTGTTAAAGATCGAAGAATTTATTCTTTAAAGTCACATAATTATCACATATTAATGTAAGATTTATTGCCAGTAGCTGTACATTGTTGCATCTCGAGTAAGGCGATGTCTTGTATCATTGAACTTTCCAATATAATGAAAGCCATCTGCGGGAAAGTTATGATGGTTGAAGAACTTGATAAACTACAAGATCGAGCTGCCTTGACTTTATACAACTTGGAGAAGATATTTTCGCCTTCATTCTTCACAATTATGGTGCATCTGCTAATTCATCTTCCTCGCGAAGAAAGAGTTGGTGGACTAGTTTTCTATCGATGGATGTACCCTATAGAGAGGTGTTAATTGAATTATACATTTCAAATGAGTACCGATTATACATTTTAATTAAATATATTTACATTGTACGTTGTTTTTTGTATAGGTTCTTGGGCAAGTTGAAGTCTTACTGTCGTAATAAGCATTATCCAGAAGGATCAATTACTGAAGGGTATTTGGCAGATGAATGAATGACATTTTGCTCTAGATATTTGGAAGATGTTGAAACAAGATGGAATAGACCAAATAGAAATGATGTGTTCAGTACTAATGACTTACCTAAAGATTATTTGTTTGGAAGTTATGGTCAACCACTTGGGAAAGTTGAAATTACACACTTAGATGACACGTCTTGGGTACAAGCACACCGATATGTTCTTTTCCATCACGATTCAATAGATCCCTTTCGCACATAAGTCTTTCGAACCCAATACTAATGAAATTTCTTAATCTTTTATATTTATCATTCTTTAACTACATAATCTACTTTATAGTGAGTTTAAAGAAGTCTTAAGATCTCGTGCACGCTCCCGAAGAATACATCAGCGAGAGATACATAAGTTATTCACAGAAACTTTTCATGAATGGTTAGGCCAGGCGGTAAGCAACTAAATCATTCCACATACTTATAAATAATATGTCTTACTTTTTATATAGAAATCAACCCTTATATATGCACCATTCATGTGTAATAGGTTTGGAGTGGGAGAGAAGTTAGTGAAGATGTTAAATGGATTTCTCAAGGTATGAATAGAATAGTTAAAAGATATAATGCCTTCCTTATTAATGGGTTTAGGTTCCACACGAAATCTCGTGAACAATTAAGGAGGACACAAAATTGTGGAATCGTAGTTACTTCTTCAACTACCAGTTATGCTAGTGTTAGGGACAATAATCCACAGGAGGGAGATGTTGATTATTACGGAATTCTTACGAACATTATTAAGTTAGATTATCATGGAAAACGAAAGGTTGTGTTGTTTCAGTGTAACTGAGTTGATGTAAACAGTAATCGAGGCATAAAAACAGATAAATTCGGGTTTATAATAGTGAATTTCTCTCGATTAATTCACACTAGTCAACGATTGATGGATGAACCATATGTATTTTCTTCTCAAGTGAAACAAATATTTTACTGTCACGATCCAATGGATGGCGGTTGGTATGTTGTTCTCCTTAATACTCCTAGAGACTTAATAGACATCGGGGATGGAAGTAGAGATAACATTGAAACAAGATTATAATGTTTACCTCTAGTAGCACAAAACTTAGATGAAACTATCACTAATACAACACAATTTCAATGGGTTCGGGAGGACGTTGATGAAGATATTTATGACAACTGACATTACATAAGAATGTCATAAGATTTTTTATCTTTATTTATTTATTTATAATGTTAAAACTTTTAATATGTTGTCTTTCAATATATTCATTAATTAAATCGTTTTCTTATTACAAATGTTTGTTTATTACAGATATCATGCCGAGGAGAAAAATAAGTGATTTGCGGATTGTTTGAGCTTCTGAAGAGCATGAACAAGCAAATAATGACGAATCAAATGTTTTTGACTCTTTTGAAGTTCCTATATCTATTGAAGAACCTGTAGAAATTCAAGGTAATCTTCGAAACTTTATTTAATAGTTTTTTCATTTTCAAAAACTTACATTTAATAATTTCTTATATAGTTGGAAATGTTGGAACACACAATAGTAGAGGACGTACAACGTTGAAGGAATTATACCAATTACCTCCTGGGCATCGTGTCAAAGTTTCAAGAAACAATGTTGGTCAACCTATTGGCCCAGAAGCACATCTTCTATCCGATTACTTAGGCATAGTTGGACGTAATGCTAATCTTTTACCGATCAATTACGAGTCATGGCGCAAAATGCTTAATAGTAACAAAAAATCAGGCATTGGATTTTGTTGTTAAGGTAATAATGTCATTATAATAGATACTCTATAAAAATTTAATACTAATTTATACTTACGTTGAACACTTATTTGCTGTATAGGAGAAATTTTCTTTAGAGGTCTCTGACGATTATGTGAAGCAAGCGTTAGGGAAGAGATGGAGAGATCATAAGAGCTCATTAAAAAAGAAATACTTCAAGAATGATCTCAGCCTTTAAGATAAGCTACAAACTGTCCCACCTGGAATGCTCAGGTACTAATGGGAAGATGCAGTCAGATTTTGGAGTTCACAAAAAGGACAAGTATGATGTATTTTTCAAATATAATTTTAACGAATTATAAATCATCATTTAAAGGGGTTGTTTGAAATTGTAGGACCGAGAGCATGTTGGTGTTGCTAGAAGGCAACAACAAAAGTTTACGCACACGGCTGGATCGAAGAGCTTTGCTTGTATAGCTAATGAGGATGTATTACATATTATTCACATAATTATTTGTATTCCATGTACATACTAACTCAAACTAATTATATTATGCTACATTGTAGGAAAATACATCTAGTTCTAAAGTTGGCCGAACCAAACCCTTCGACATGGCACATACAAAGAAGGATGTCACTCTTATGACTGCTGAAGCTGCACAAATTATGGTATGTTTATTGGATACATGTTTTATTTATATCTGTAGCATGACATATTTATTTGAATTAATTATTTACTTTATTATTAGGAAAAATTGAGGGAGAAAAGGGTGGAGTATCAAGCTACGACTTCGAGTCAAGGTGTTGTTAATGAGGATGACATTGAAAACCAAGCTATTAATGATGTTTTGGGTCTTGAAAGATATGGTTGAATGCGTTGTCAAGGATAATTCGTTACTCCCACCAAATATTTTGGATCTAGTTCATCTCAGTACATGTCATCATAGCCTCAGTCTTCCCAATTAGAAGTTAGTCGGTTAAAACAAAAGTTGGCTGAAATAGATCAACAAATGGCTAACATGAAAGTCGAAAATGAAGCAAGGGAAGCAGAGAGAGCAGCAGCGGAAACATAAAGAGCAGCAATGGAAGCACATATAGAAGCAACATATCAGCAGAAATGTCAAGAATTTGAAAAACGACTAGAATCTATGATGCAGATGTTACAGAAAACACAACCTCAAAATCCACCATCTTAGTCTTTTTAATGCTATATGTTCTGTTAACGTTATCATACAATGTTTAACTGATACTATATTACGTTAATGTAAACTTTTATTTATTATAATGGATTTGATGTTGGTTGTTATGGAAATTGAGTTTGGTGTTATTGATTATATGTTTGTTGGATATTGGAACATGTTGGAAAAATAGATTTGGGGTAATCGAAGAAGAAAAAAATTATTTACATTTCCGTGTTCATTAGTTGCTTTTGTTTTTAAATAACACAAACAATACCCATATTTTGCAATAAAACACCATAAAAAGTTTAGATATTTTGCGGCGTTTGTATCCCAAAAACGCCACTATATCCCATACCTTTAGCGACGTTTATATACGACAAACATCGTTATATACAAGACCTTTAGCAGCATTTATATCCGAAAAACGTCGCTATATACAAGAACTTTTGCGGCATTTGTATCTAAAAAACACTGCTATATACCAGACCTTTTGCGACGTTTGTATCCAAAAAAAGCCGCTAAATATCTTAACCTTTTGAGGCGTTTATAAAAACACCGTTATATACGTACTCATATTGCGGCGTTTATGGCCCAAATGCCGCTATATCTTTTTACCTATTGCGGCATTTTTTGTTATCAAATGCCGCGAACTTTAGCGGCGCTATTTTCCCCGACGTTTTTTGCGGCGTTCTTCATATCGCCGCAAGCATTTTTTGCGGCGCTTAAAAACGCCGCTATAGGTAAAAAAAAGCCGCTACAAAACACTTTTGCTGTAGTGTGAATAAACTAATTTGAACCGACTCGGGTTGCACACCAGGTTTTGATGGATCAATATTTTAACGAGGATTTTTTGCATGCACAATGACTTGAACTCAAGATATGCTTAAGAGATATCAAATTGCTTATCACTTGAATCAACCCTTATTAGTATGATTAATCATTTATAATTATTATTATTGTTAAAAAATAATTTTGATGAGAAAAATGATCAGTCTAGATATGATATTGTAAGTTTAAAAAATACATAAATTTTTAATAATTGTATATGTTTCATGGAAATTCATAAAATTTAAAAAAAAATAAAAAATTGACATTAAGAGTATCGAACAACTAATTTATCAATCATGTATACATTGATAAAAACATTAGTTTCTAAATTATAAAATAAAAGTTAAGATTTTAACTCTAAAAATAATTTTCAAAGAAAACGTAAAACTTTTAATTTTTTATTGAAAATTATTTTTAAATAATATTTTAAAAAAAAATCAAAGTTAGTTTGGAAACAATCTTGGGGAAGCTACGGTTTTACCTTGGCGAACTTGATTAAAAATCATAATTAGATGATAAATTGTTGGCATATATTAATTATGTGATTTCGTAATTTATTAAAGAGTAAATTTACGAATGATCCTTATGTTTTTTGTCTGTTCAATTTTGGTCACTGATTCAAAAAAAAAGTTATTTTGATCCCTTACGATGTTAGAAGAAAATGTCCTATAATGTTAATGGCGGAAGAAGAAGGATAACGAAGAACGTACTCTAGTGTTAATAGTGGAAGAAGAAGAAGAAGACAAGTAAAGCAACACGTTGATTTTTTTTATTTTTTTAATTAACATGTAACACTTTCATTAAGAGTTTAATGGGAGTTAACGGTTGAATGATTAAAACCAAACAAATCGATAACGTAAGAGACCAAAATCATTCTTTTTTAATCGGTCAGACCGAAAACATAAGATACTAATCGTATAATTTATCATTTGTTAAAAAACAATATTAAATAATGCCTTAATCTCTCTCAGCAGCCTGTTTTGATTTGAAATGGGAACAAACAAAAATTAAAAGCAGCACAGATGGAGCAAGGGATAAGCGGGAGTCGTCTCCTTAAAAATTTAAAACTATTATATATTTTAGGTTTTTTCTAAACATTTTCTATTAAAAATCTATTTTCATCCCTTTTAAAATTTTAGAAATTAATCCTTTTTAAAATTTTAAAAATTCACCTATAACATAAAATCTTACGTTTTTTACATGAAAATCAGCTCTAAAACAAATGACTATACCGACGACGTTCTATATACGGTATTCCAACTTCCAAACTAGAATTTTGATTCTTTTGGCACTAAATAATGATAATAATTGATTTAATTATGTGCTGATTAATCATTTTGTTCTTTAATCATGAAATCAAGGTCCAATTTCCACCTATAAAAATTAAAATATTTAATATTGACCTAATAGAAAATAAGATTTATTAAAAAGAATGTAGAAAAGAAAATCCAATAGAAAATTTTACGTATCTATTAAGTAGATTAAATTTTGATTAAACTATTTAATATTAATCTGTCGATGAAATGTGGTCCAAAACCTTGAATTAAAAATGAAAGAAAATCCACATGATGTCATGTTATCTAATGTTCCTTAATTAAATGATAAAATCTTCCAAAAATCTGTGAGAAGAAACTGTCAATGCTTAAAAATTTATGTAGTTTTTTTAATTAATTATTGATATATGATCTCTTGATCGATTAATCCAGATCGAATAATATAGAAGTGAGGGCAACTCTCCCAACCCAATTTGCTCAATTCAAAAATGTTAGGGTTCGAATCCCTAATATTACTTAAGGAATGTAATGTCTCATCCCACTAGACCATCTGGTTGTTGATAAATTTATTTAGTTTTCTAATTTAGATTCTCTGTGAATTTTCTAGGATTTTAAATCTTTGGGAATTGATGTGGTATTTAAGAGTATGTTTTTTTTACTTTAATTGATTATTCGAAAACTATTTTTTATTTTTCAATGTTTGATTGACGGAAAATATATTAATCAATATAATTTATTTTTTCAGTAAAATTTCCTTTACCTTTTATAGAAAAAGACTCTCAGATTAAATTTTTGTAAATTATTTTCTAAATTTATATACCTATAGTTATTTTGTTCATGGCTTTGGGTTTTGTCATAAATTTGACGAAGTGGTTAACAAAAGTATTGTTTTTTTAGAAGTTTTAGTAGAGATGGATCGAGCGTGACGGTGGGTGGGTGTAATTAGAGGTGTTCATAATTCGGTTAAAACGGAATTACTCGATCGAATTAATTTTTTGTTGTTGATCTGTTGGTTAGTGGTTAATTGTTTTTTCAAACTTCGATTATCTGTTAATTAAGTTCGAAATCAGTTAATTAATCAAATTAACCAAAATTATTAAATATTTAATATATTATTTAGTTTTAGGAATGTTTAAATTTCGGTTTTAACAGAAATAATCGGCCAAATTAATTGAATCAACCAAAAAAATTAAACATTTAATTATATAATATATATTATTTATAAATTCGATTAATTCGGTTAACTAAGGAAATTAAACGAATTTAGTTTGGTTCAGTTAAAAATGTTTTTTCATTTAAAAAGTTTTTAAAAAGTTCTATTAACGGTTAAAGAAAGAACAATTTAATTAATTCGGTTAATGGTTATTTGGTTA